TGTGGGAGGAAGCCGGAGAACCCGGAGAGAACCCACGCTGCACGAGGAGAACATGGAGACTCGAAAAGATCCCAGGTGTCCTCACTGGGACGCAAACCAGCGATCTTCTAACCTTCTACCTGCGAGGCGACAGTGCTAACCACTGTCCACCTTGAAGCCCAAAAAAAAAAAACCCAAATTCAAAAAATAATTGTATGATTTCTTCTACTAAGTGATATGATTTATGCAGATATCAGCTTGTGGCAGTAGATGTGATCACAGTAACGCTTACTTAGTTGGTTTCTTCTTGTTTTCTTGACTTTAGCAGTTGAGTCTCTCAGTTGAGGTAGAAAACAGAAGGTGTTTGGGGCGCCCCTAATGCTCATCTAGTTGAGCAGGTGACCTGTGAACAGGGGCTATAGTTCCCCCAGTGGTCGTGAGTTCAAATCCCGCTCATGACCCTTTGCTGCAGGTCTCTCCCCATTCTTCTCCCCCTTTTCTGTCTCTCTCTACTGCTCTAAATAAAGCCTATATATATATAAAAGAAAACAGAAGGTGTTGTAAATGTAGCTGGAAGGATTTTTATAAATCATGTGATCTGTGCAGTGATGCATGTAAATGAGCCGTCCACTCATCCTTGTCTACATGCCGCGACCGTCGGATAACTATCCTAAACCTACGTTATTCTTTGAGGAAATTCTGAGCAGCTCCGTCCGTGTGCATGACTTTACTGCTGCTGAAGTTCTCCAGACTCTTCCTCCAACACCAGAAAGTTTAGCCGACCTGCTTTCCCAGCAGATGGCTGCAAACACAAACCGTTGCCCTGCGGCTGAATCCTACCATGTCTGCCAGGTGGTTCAGTCCCAACGTGAAGCTGTGTTTTCCTGCCGAGGCCTCCCGGTTGTGTCTTAACACCAAGTGCACGTTCTTCTCCCAGACTGCCCTCCTGAAGGCGAGCTCGGTCTGAAACGCAAGACGCCGACTGACTCATCTGAACACTGCATGTTTCTGTGACAGCGGAGAGACAAAATATTTTACCTGGTTGTCGTAAACTTTGCCATGTGTGATACTCCACTCCTCCCACGCTTCGTTTAGGGCAGACGAAGAACGGCTGATGACCACGAAGGACAAAAACAACAAAACATGCATCCTGCAGAGAAAACAACAAACTGAATGGGTCACTTCATTGTGACCTGTGTGTCCAGTCTTAGATTCTGGAGCTGAAACAATCAGACTAATGAATGAATTGATTGATTCTTTGGGGTTTTAAGCCTCTGAGCTGTGAGGATTTGCTGCCTTTCATTGTCTTGTGTGACAATGACCTCGACCTCTTTGGGATGTGGGCTGTTAGTTTCACCAAACATGTGATGAATGTTGGACTTTTCCATCATTTCCCCACATGGACCGCGTACAATATAGAAAAAACTGGTGATGAGTCACAGAAAATTTCTACCAACAATACAACCTCATCTTTTTGTGCTTTTGATCATTCAGTTAATCGTTCAATTTCCTAAGAACTTGATTTCTTNGCCTCCAGATACTCCTCAACAGCATGCACGGCCTCATCATCACTCTCAAAATGGCGCAACAGTGGTTCAAAACCACCTTTGGCTGCTTCTGCCACCTGTGCTGTGTTTTCCTGGACGCTGATGTAAGGCTTTATAGTAAACAGATATGCCACAAAATGGAAGCTACAGCCCTTGTTTCCAGGTGAAGCCGAGAGCTTTTAACTTGTAACCGGCCGATCTTACCTGGTCTCTGACAGGACCGACCAGGCCCTCCTTCCTCCAGTCCACGCTCTGAGGTACTGACACTCCACTCGTGTCCTTCGTGGTGCCGTTTCTGAAATGATCCGGCTCCTCCAGCTTCAGGCCGTTCATCTTCTCGTTGATCTCCTCGGCTGTCTTAATGGAAAAGAAATACCGGTAAAGAAAATGGACGTGAAGGATGAACACGTGTTGCATGATTAGAGACCTCGATTTCACTGAATGCGTACATACAGCAGTGTGATAGATTTCATCAGGTCAGTGTGTTACAGCCTCTTGTTAAAGTGTGTTTACACTCAGGGTCATAACAGAGCTCTTCACTGTATATAATTGTAGTTCTCCCTCCATCACTGTCCTCTTGGTTTCTGTCCTTCGTGAAATTTGTACTTAACTTCAACAAAACTCCACTGCAGGTGCTGGCTGGGCTGTTTTTATTTTGCACCTGCTTTCCTGCAATAGTACAGATAATCTCTGTTTCCTCTTTCTTCAGCAGAAAGGACCCAAACTACACCGCAAATGCATCATCAGTTATCATTTAGTGTGTTTGTTCTGATACCAGATCACATTCAACATTTTATTTCTACCACTTCCCACCTTCGCTGTACAACCCTGTAGGTATCAGATTTCACTCTGTGGATTTATTGATCGCACCGAAACCTTATTTCTTACAAATGAAGAACCTTTCAACGTTATTCTCCGCAGTAACTGAGACACATTGTTCTCTGACTGTGGGCCAAGAGCCGGTGTGTGTCCTCCACATTCCTGCCAGTTTCCTGCAGAGACGCGTCACGCCCATCCAGGCTTCCTGTTGTCTTTCATATAAACCCTCCTCCTTAAAAACGTCCTTCCTCTCAAGCCCGTGTGCATTTCTGTTCCCCCAAACCGTCATTTACACATCAAACCCGACACTGTAGCACTGAAAGTCTTTTGTGTGTGAAAAAAAACATATGACTCTAATGTGCACGTGTCATGTTTTTGCATTTTTTTGTTTCACTGCACTCGCCTGCTGCGCTTTTATTGGAATTCTATTTTCATCAAATGCTCGCAGACGTTCATTGCAACCCTGAAACCGAAAATAGCGACATAAAATACAGAAAGGTTCAGATTATTATAGCTTACATAGATCTGATTTTAAGTATTTCTGCTCTTGCGATCGTTTATCTGCTTTGAAAGTTGAAGTGAATTGTAAAAACACACAGATAACACTGGCCTACACCCATTTTGGTGTCAATTTTCCTCTAAAATCTGATTTTATATGAGAAATACTAAAATAAATCAATCGCTAATGCCAAAATATGTCATCGATTTAGTGGTAAAATTGATTTTTTTTAAAAATCGAGTTGGCATGAAAACCTGACCTGATACAGAAAAGCAGCAGAAAAGCTAAAATCAGTTTAAAAAAAAAAAAGTCCTAGACACCTTCAAAAAAGTAACCCAGTGTAATCAGTGTGTATCATTGCATCACAGCCTGACTGTTTGTAGGAGCAGATCAGAAAACGCTGTTTTGTATTTGGTGTCTCCCGTTAATGTGTGTGGGTTTTTTTTGGCCTTTGTGCCTTTATTTGATAGTGCAGTGAGAGAGAGAGACAGGAAAGTGGGGTAGAAGAATGTGGGGAGGACGAGTGGGAAAGGGCCATGATTCAAACTCATGACCTCCACATCGGGCCTGTACATGGGACGCCAGATCAACCAGGTGAGCTAATTTGACCTATATGAGGTAGGAACCTTTCTGTCTAGGGAGGGTTTCCAACCGGAAAGGGACAAACCAGCTGAGCAACACGCTGAAATTTACCGCATGTATAGATGTTGGTTGGAAATCTGTATTTTAGAAGATTTGGATAACAAAAAATAAAGAGACTATGAGCATCGTAAAGCAACATGAGTTAGACCTTAATTCATTAGACATAGCTAACAGCATTGGCTTAGCCTCTACACTGATATTTAAAAACTTGTATACGTTTTATGTAGTAGGTAAATCTTTCTTGAGTTGTTACTAGGAAATGTTTCTTTTTACTCACTGTGGGCTCATTTTTCACTTCAATATGAAGTCCTGCACCTTTATGGAAACCACACAACCATGACTGGATGGAGAGAGAACTTTTCAGAGTAGAGAGAAAATTAAAAAGTAAATTTCTTTGATCTTTACATTTCTTTAGGTTAAAATGAAAACAAAACAAAACCAAACGTGAAACCACAGGTGTTACTTAAAAGAAATGGGAGCTTCACACGGCTGATTCTGTGCTCGCTTTCAAGTCACTTCATAAAACACATTTTTATCGGAGAGCTTTTCCTGATTTTATCTGAGTTTTATAGTTTCCTGCTTTATTTGTGTGCGTTCTACTTCTATCAGTTATTCTTTGTGCTTATTGGATTTTAATTTTAAATGTATTTTTATTGGAAAGCACTTTGTAGCATTTGTTTTCAAAAGTTCTCTATAAATAAAGTTTATTATTATTATTTTTATTCACATACTATAGATTATTCACTATTTGCAAGTTTACAATATCTAGGAATCCTGTTTTTTTATTTTATTTTATTTTTTATTTGTAATGTAACTCAGACAGATGTTTTACCAACATTCTGCTTTTTAAAAAAATGATCAGGTATGTTTGATTTTCCTCTCTGTCTCTGTAATTTATTTCCTTTTTTATTTCATCTCTGCTCTACATAAACACAGCCTGCAGTTCAACCTAACATTCACCGTATTATCGTCACAAGACCGTCAGTTGCAGTTGAGCCGCTCGTAGCTTCACAGTTGCACCAGTTAGTTCAGAATTTTATGTTTTAACTGAATTTGATTTGGACAAACACTTTATTTTTGGCAGATTTTTAAACAAGAACAGAGAAATTTTTGATTAAATGTTAAGCTTTTATACTTTTAAATCATTTTCCTGAATAGAATTTCACTATGATTACAGCTTTCTGGATGTCTGGCAAAAATGGCAAAAAAAAGAAAATTCGAGTTTAAGCGATGTAGTAGCTTTATTAGCCTTCCCACATGTACTGTATCTATGAGTCCTGACTGTCCTGGCCGCCGCTGCCCCCCCACATACTGGATTAAATTAATCAGATTGTATGAAGGAAGATTACAGCCGCTCTATAGGTTGGGCTTTAAATTAAGCTGGCGGGGTGCAGGTTTAAATGCAGATTAACAGTGTTGGTCAGTGACATCCATCTTGTACCAGCAAAAGGTCAGCGAGTGTGAATGCACTTTAGGTTGTGATGTCGACACACAGTGTGTTCAGTTTGTGTCCACCAGAGGTCTCTCAGATACACTTCTGTCCCAGATAGTGGCCGATCAATCCACTGCTGTCCTGGAATTTGGTATTTCTTCTTCTTTTTAAGAGACAATTCAGAGATATTTTTTTCAATTTGGATCATAATTTCTTTTTTGTTATGGAACAAAAACGCTTTTTATTGTCAGTATGTGGCTGCTTTAGTGAGTTACGGGTGTGGGATTTGTAATGTTGTAGTTTAATG